ATCCATAAACAAGCAAACTACAACATTTTCCTTAAGAACAAAGGAAATATGAATTTACATTTTTTTTTTATTTTCTCCATTACCAATAACCGTACAAAACACTTTGATAGACTAAATTATTTGTTTTTAAGCTCTTTAATAGTCTGGAAAGAAATTAGGAATTTTTTTGTTTTTAGGGTCAAAAATAATAAAACCCAATTTTTATCTCATAAAAACCCCCGTAAAACCCCGTTCCCATGGTCCGATCATGTTGGTTCGCGAACTAATTCAAGTTTATCCCGCCTTACAACTTTAAACCAAATTTCTAAAACATTAGACAAAAATTACTCAAGTTATCACGTTTACGGACACACATAAACACACACACACACACCATCACACATGTTTAAATATACAGTATATATATATATATATATATATATATATATATATATATAGGCCTATATACCACATACCATTAATTTAGTGAGTCGGTGGGTCGGTGGCTCAGTCGGTAGCGTCGCGGCACAGACAATGGAATAAACCAGTATTATATTGTCTGTGGTCGCGGACTAAGCGATGTCATGGGTTCGGATCCTGGTCACTGCCGATAACATTTTATCAGTACAGTTCACCTTTGTACTGTACCGGCTCACTCCTTGCTTTGCTGTTAACGATCCACGCACGGGCGCTTAGTCTATGTGGACGGGCAAATGCAAGGTTAAAAGAGGCCGCCAACCTCTTAAAAAAAAAAAAAAAAAAAAAAAAAAAAACATAAGTAGGGTACCCAAATACACAACCTGTTTCGTATAAATATATATGTATATATCCACAATAGATATATATGCATACATACAAATTTTAACGAATAGATTTCAATTTAGTCAATGGTCCTACCATGCCACAAACACGTCCAAGGCGTTGGATAAGTCAACTAACTGTCAATAGTGTCAATCGTTTGAAAAATACAGAACGATTGGAAAGTGAGTGACTCAACACTCAACCTTTGACTTAACTCAACAGTCAACCATTCCAAAAAGAGGGCCCCCGTACTGTAAGTTTGCAAGGCAAAAAGAATGTGTGTCTGTGTACTGTGTACACGCAGGACTACAAACATACTGTAGTCGTAGTCCTGGTGTACACACGCATCCCCCGCCCCCTCCAATCAGCCAAAATGTGACGTAGTATGCGAGGCTCAGCTGATGCTGCTAGCGCTAGCTGCTACAGTGCTACACAGTACACTCTAGTTAGTTCGTTCGTTTGTTCGTTACTGTTATTCAGTCAGTTCAGTTCAGTTGTTGTTGTTGAGCTAGAGCTGAGCGTTGAGCCAGTTGAGCTGTATGTCCACCGACGAATTCTCAACAAAGTAAGTTAGTTATTATTAGCTTGGAATGCCGTTTTGCGCTGTTTTTGGGTGTGGTAATTCAAACAAGAAAAGTAGTTGCTCTAAAGTAAAGTTTCATCGGTTCCCGAAAGAATCTGGATTACAAAACAAATGGATTGACGCATGCAAAAGACAAGACAAGATAAACATAAAAACAGGTAGGTTAGGACCTAAATATCTTTATCCTATACTCTAATACGAGCAATGTTTGCTTGTATGTATCTTACTAATATTATAAATCTGAAAGTTTGTGAGTTTGTGTGTGTGTTTGTTGCTCAATCACGCATAAACTACTGGACGGATTGGGCTGAAATTTGGCATGATGATAGCTCACATTCCCAATTAACATTAAAGCATATTCTTATCTCAAAAACCCTTTCGGGCTCCGCTCCAGTGGCTCTGTAGTTCCCCATGTTAATCTTATGATTTTTCATATTTAAAAGGAATTAATGGATCTTAACAGCTGTTTCAATTAAACAAGTTGGTTCTGTTCTGTGATGTGCAATAGCATAAAAGTTACAAGGATTACCGGTACCAACAGGGTGCAGCACTATTATTCTTTTTTAATTTATGACAGCTAATTACCAGCCAAAAGGTGAGTGAGCGTAGCGAACGAACTTCAACCTGGAGGCGAGTTAGCGTAGCCATAGATAAAACATACTTTAGTCTATGTCTAAAGTCACATTTTTTTAACATTAGTCTTATGGGTTGCTAAGTAACCATCTTGGCTGAAATAAATAACAAGGAAAAAGTAAACAAAAACTTGTAAGTTGTCTGTCCACAGTATACTAGCAAATTAAAAATACAGTACAAAAGGAAAAACATCAGTGTTACTATTGAGCAAAGATTATATTGAAGATTACTCGATACATTGTAGTCAATGGTAGCAGTGTGTAGTGTGGGATCTGTTTATGACGATTAGATTACGGTATCTGCAATCCTTAAATGCTATGGGAAGGGAAGGAAACAGGTCCGCGACGTAGAAAGTGATGAAGGAAGTATAAAGACGAGCAGTCCGGAGTGTGGGAACTGTTTATGACGATTAGATTAAGGTATCTGCAATCCAAAAATACTATGGAAAGAGAGGAAAACAGGTCCGCGACGCAGGAAGTGGTGAAGGAAGTAGGAAGTAGTCAAGGCGAGCTGTCCGGAGTGTGGGATCTGTTTATGACGATTAGATTAAGGTATATACAATCTTAAAATTCTATGGGAAGAGATGGAAACAGGTCCTCGACGCAGGAAGTGGTGAAGGAAATAGTAAAGGCGAGCAGTCTGGAGTGTGGGAACTGCTTATGACGATTAGATTGAAGCATCTGCGATCCTTAAATGCTATGGGAAGGGAAGGAAACAGGTCCGTGACGTAGAAAGTGATGAAGTAGTAAAGGTGAGCAGTCCGGAGTGTGGGAACTGTTTATGACGATTAGATTAAGGTATCTTCAATCCTAAAATACTATGGGAAGGGAGGAAAACAGGCCCGAGACGTAGGAAGTGGCGAAAGAACTTTGTTTACATTTTTAGACAATCAAAAAACATGATTTAAATTTAAAATAAATACTTAAATATATATACAGTGTAGTCTTTCCATTCACAATGAATAAAAGGCAGTCCAATAGCAAAAGATTAAAATCGATATTGGAATTTAACCAATGGCTGACGAGGCGTATCACAACAGTTCTTATGTTTATTATTGTTTTAGGGTCTTGTGTTTGTTAAATCATCGAATTATATTATCACATATACTTCGCTGTTGTTAATTCGCCAAGTTTTCCTGTGTTCTACGCATTCTAAGCATATTAAAAAACACATTTTTAAGGACTGACTTTATTCGTTTTATTTCACAGCCACCATTTGCCATTTTTAATATGACATCAAGACATCTTTACTACTTTAACACACTTTTGGCCACTTTTTTAATTGGCAACAATTTTGTTTAACCTTATTCGTAATATTACTGGTAGGTATGTGTAGGTACGAAACAAAATTTGAAAAAGGAATCAAAACTTAATTCATAATGTAAAAAATAAAAAAGGTTGGGTGAATTCGTTGCCAAATATGTCTAGTCTATTATTGCACTAATGCATAACTAGTTCCCTGTTTATACATAACTAGCTGTAACCTGCGGGCTTTGCCCCGTTTAACTTCTTAATTTTCAAGATGATCTCGTTCGCATGGCTCAATCACGTCCTGGTTAAAGTTTGTTCGCTACGCTAACTCACCTTTAGGTTGGAGCTCGTTCGCTACGCTAACTCGCCTCCAGGTCGAAGTTCGTTCGCTACGCTCACTCACCTTTTGGTTGCAAATTAGCTGTTGTCATAAATGTAGGTTAGAAGGTCTACAAGGTACCTACAAGCAAGGTTAGAAGTATAGATACTGGAACTGTAACAGAGTAACAGAAAACTGGAACGGGAACGGGCTGTGGAGCATTTTGACGTGCGAATAGTCACTTCGTATTAAAAAATACAGTAGGAAGGTTCACTTACTCTACAGATCATAGTGCCTATGAGCCAAGCGTATGAATTATTTTTTAATTCAGGAATAAAGACGGCTCACTTACACTACAGTTCATTTAGCTACACGTCACGCGGTTTGCAGCGCATCGTTGCAGGCGTTTATGGTAAACCAATAGAGTAGTAAGTAAAAGTAAAGATTCAATAAATACGTATATTTGTATTTTTTAAATAGTTTATCTATTCACAGTACAATGCTTAGTGAACAATTACTAGATGATGTTTGTCTTATCTGGATCATACAAGTGTGTATTATATAACCTGATATTACTCAAAATGTGTTTGATTCTATAACGTTTCATTAAATTTAACATAAATATTCACGCTCCCTCCATTTTTAAAAGTATTCAGTCCAAAAATGTAATAAATTTGCTTGCGCGTAGGCCTACATATTTATTTCGTGATGATAAATAATTGGGGTGATAAAATACACTTATGTAGGCAGTCGCAGCAGTCGATGCCGGCGTAGCGCCTTGTTTTATCTATGCGCCTAGTTTCACGAACGCTAACCACGCATCGTGTAGCTAAATGAGCTGTAGTGTAGTGAGCAATCTAATATTTTACCACAGGCTCGTGGCTCATAGGCACTATGATCTGTTGAGTAAGTGAACCCTCTATTATATATATACTATTTATAATATTATTTACAAATCTCGTATAGACTATAATCTGTAGAGTAAGTGAGCTGTTCCCGCTAAAACTTAGATGTCTTGCAAGTTGCAATGCAATTACTGTTGGTTTTCCATCAGGCCTGCTTGTTGCTTGCTACGAATATGTTCTTCTTCCTTTTTTTTTACTCTCTTGTTTTCTTACTTATCTTTGCCGTTTGCCGTCGTTTCCGCAATCCGCGTTTGCCCAATGCCCAATACAATAACAATAACAGTGCCCAGTCCAGTACTACTGTTTATTTAGTAGTTATTTTATTATTTAATTTAGTCGTTATTTAGTTATTAAGTCGGTAGTTTGCTTCGTTTTGCTGCGTCGGCAGTGCCAGCCTTGCCTGTCAAGGTGTCAAGTGAAATTTGGATTGATAGACTAATTTTCCGTGACAAAACATCAAATAAGTTACATAGCCTAGTCTGCAAAGTTGTTTTCAAAACTCAAGTTAACCGTTTTTCGAAACTAAAAAAATGAGCGATAGCGACATCAATAGCACTAGTAGTAGTAGTAGCAGTAGCTGTAGTACTGACCCAGAACAAGAAGAATTAATGCAAAGGATTCTTCAAAATGCTGAATATATGGATCACAATACCATGATCTTAGTGTTGGCATACTTGCTGATTAAACGGAGGCGTTTGAGGAGATGTGATGACACTACAAGTGATGAAGACGAAGAGTGAGTATAAGCATAGATAAAACATGTTTTTATCTATGGTATATAAGCTATTAATTTAGTGAAGTTTCCTGGAATGAAGTAACTACCGGTGGATTTGAGGTTATATTAGGTAGGCTACTTATACCTGTTTACAATCCGACTGTGTTAACCCATTCCCTGGGTAGGCCTACAGTTTCTTAACTCGGCTACACTATAATTGATTGAAACTTTGGATTAGATTAGTAAACTTTCATACGATTATTTCACCATCAGCAAGTTTGATTGGTTAGGTTAGGTTATGATACTTAGGGGCGGTTCAAGAGCTCAGGACTATCGTAGTCTGAGCCCAGAATCCGGAAATAACCGGCATTTGGGCCGCGACTTAAAAAATCGGGTTCACGAGCTCGAGACTATATAACCCGCGGACCAAACTGATAGGCGGCACACAATTAGTGCAGGGATAAAACCCGGTTTTAAAAGTTAGTAGGTGGCACACAATTAGTGCAGAGATAAAACCCGGTTTTAAAAGTTGGGTTCACGAGTCCAATTACAGATAGTCCCGGCTTCTGATCATTAGTCCCAGTGGGTTCACGAGTCAAGTCCAAGCCCAAATGAGATGGTTCGGGCCCAAAAGAACAATGGTGTTTGGTCTCCAACTCAGACCTGGTAGGAGGCAGGTTTAAGGTGACATGATGCCGGTTTCATCTCATTAGCTCCTTTATTTGTATTATTTGTTATAAACTAATGTTTTAAATATGGTTCCTCATTAAATTCCGAACAATTGATCTTATTACCCACACCACCATATTAAAAAACTATGTAAAAATGGTAAAAAGGCTCATAAAACATGAAAAAAATCATCAAACAACTTAAAACGACAGATAAATTATGATGCACGTAACAAAGTAGTATCATAAGAAAGATATATTTACTGATAAACCCCATGTTATTACATTTTAAACGACAAAATTATGCGTAGAATATAAATATAGGCTAACCATATAACTAATCAGCCACAGTTAAACCATCATTATCTAACATAATTATCAAAAATAGTTTTTTGCCGTGGGAAACATCAAGCAAACCGTCAGTCGTTGAGTACGGTTCGCGGTGATATCACCGTCTCGTGTTGTAGGCTACTTACTGGTCGCCGTGTGTATTGAATATGACTATAAATTATCTACCTATACTGTATTATGTTAACAATTATGTACCATCACTCCACTACCTCGCATAGGACCAGCTCGTTATCATGACTAAAACCCTTTTATGACTTGATGAATCTAAAGATAGATTTAAATGTTCCAAAGATGCCGTCAATGAGTCATTTGAGGCATTCACTCCAAGGCACGGATTTCCCGACAACAAATTCCATTACCTACAGTATTCTAAGTTGAAAAAAAAAAAATGTTAGTTGCACTAATATATTTTGGCTGATGGCACTTTCCATCGAGAAACTGGCGATTTATTGGATGTTAGTAAAGCTTGGATGGTAGGTAGCTATTTGTTTGGTAATGAAAGCAGAATAAATCAAATTTTCAGTTCGAAACTATGCCCAAAGAAAAAAAAACAATGTTTTCCTAAATATAAACGCATTGTAATGAAACTGATTTTAAAAATCGCAACAACGGAAAATGTAAATTGAAAACCATAGCTGTCAACATAAATAATATTACGAGCTAACTACAGAATATTATTTTAAACATTTTACAGTTAGATTATTAAAGAGTAGCCTATAAGAATAACGGAAAGAATAGGCCTTTTCTTAGATTACAGCCACGATTAAAACCAGCACACACATACGATTTTTATATCTAATAATCAGTACCTCTAAATACATTTTAGTTTCAATAATTGTACCATTTAAATAAGTTTAGATAAAATTATCCTATCCAAAAATCATCATCCTAAATTATCGGGCATTTATGCAAAATAGGCATTCATCAGGTTATAAATACCCGGTTATTTTATGTCATGCATCTTAATTGAATTATAATAATGCAAACAGAAAAATATATTTCACTAAAGACTTCCATTATCTGATTTCATACAAACGTGGATTGTTGTGTTTATAAATCAATAAACTTAGATAGATTATCATAGGCGAGCATTGGACAATGAAATACGAGAAAAATAATCGTTTTGGACGTTTTGGTTCAGCCTTTTTTCACACGATCATCCTATTGTATGGAAGTGCGTATGTCAGCAGCAGTGGCTTCACATGTGTTTCCAGACTGTTGTTACTGGTTGTTACCAACGTTTCAACAGAAATTCCCTGTGAATCCCTGTCATTAGGCTCCGCTACGGATTTGGTCTCGACCTACACTGGGTCCGGCTTTCACATCATTAGGCTCTGACTCGTGAACCCGTTTTTTGGTCAGCGCTTAAATATAGTCCGGGACCAACGTCTGGTCGCGGACTATAAAGTCCCAGAGCTCGTGAACCGCCCCTTAGTTTAATTTTATAATAGATAGGCTAACTTACATTTTTAAATATCAATTATTAATCGATAGTTTCAATCAATATTAGTGTAGCCCAGTTAAGAAACTGTAGGCCTACCCACCCGTTCAACGGTTTTATTTTTACATTAAACCTAAAGGTAACTTTGTTGTCCAATTTTATAATTTATAAGTCTACAAATATTTTAAAATAGCTACTTTGCTCTAAATTTTATAAGGATTACAAAAATATAATAATATAGCCTATGGAATTAAGTTTGCAAATAAATAAGTTTCATGGGTGAAAAACAGATTTTGTACATTTAGCGTTTAACGTTCAACAATAGACAAATAGAATAACTATAGACCGTCAACTGTGCTGCGGTTAGCAGAAGTTTTGGCGTCCACCGCTAGGTTTGCTGTGTAGTTACGGTGCACACCGCTGCAGCATCTGCTGGTCGCATACGGCTCCTGCGCTCCCCACCTGCAGCGGTGTGCGCCGTAACTACACGGCAAACCCTAGCGGTGGGCGCCGGAACCTTCCTTTGACAGTCTCCTATTTATTCTGTTTGTCTATGGTTTAACTTAGCTAAGAATGCATAATCTAACCATAGCAAGAAAACTGGCGGATAATTTATATCAATATTTTATCATCCTACTTCTTCATGATCATCAACCAGCCCTTCAAAATCACTTAAAAATCTTCTTATAATGCACCACGTATATCACTACTTTTTATTTTTAAACACTAAAACAATGATAAACGTAATAAAACACATCAGTCATCGGTGCGAGGTTAACCAAGTTGTTTACAAATACGCACGTCAGCTGTCTGCTACAATATTTTCGGAACTAAAATGAAAAGCGTCTAGAAACAGATATCAGGAGAAAGCTTAGAATCTGCCGAAAAGAACGATACCAATCTCCATCCAGTTCAATCTGATTCAGTAAGTTAAGTCTCAGAGCCTTCACCGTAAACGATGTTTGTGTGTCGCAAAAGCGACGCATAACACCATGACAGGTGTGTTGTGCGTCAATTACGCGACGCTTAACACTCGGAGGGTTAAAACTAAGTTATTAAGTTAAATCTTGTTATTCTTCAGCACCTGAAACTTTGAAAGCAACATAGGCCTAAGTTATGTTTGGTATGGCTTCTGTAGAAGAGGCGAAGAACTAAATGAATTTAGGCCTAGGCTCATGGCTTAGGACACGTAGGCTAGTTGCATGCACTAGTTAAGTTACTTAGAGCCCAATTTAGTCTTCCCAGCTTAGGTGTTCTCACAGCGCTTCCTTTTTTTTTGGGCATATCTCCTATTTAGTCGTTAAGACAGTAGGCCTACAAACCCATGGATAATGCCCTACTTATTTCTGGGGCAAGGAATTTTACTTGTGTGAAGCTGCCAATAACTCACCAATAAGTAGTGCCCGCGCTTCTAAAAATCAATAAACGGCACTGTTTCGGGCAAATCTGGCCGCACTGCTTAATACCCATATGGTCACCAGGTAGAGGACACCTTAACTCATAAGTCAGTATCATGGTCGTATACCAGGAACACAGGAGGTCATAAAAAATGGGCTTAAAATGGCAAACTGCACACTGCAAAATCTACTGGTGGCCCTTTTGCGGAAAAATAAGGCCGCGCAGGGTAATACCCATATAGTCACCAGGTAGATGATAGCCTACCTTAACTCACAATCCAGTATCTGGTCGTATACCAGGAACACAGGAGGGTCATAAAAAATGGGCTTAAAATGGCAAACTGCACACTGCAAAATCTACTGGTGGCCCTTTGACCGAAAATATGGCCGCACAAGTTAATACCCATATAGTCACCAGGTAGATGATAACCTACCTTAACTCACAATCCAGTATCTGGTCGTATACCAGGAACACAGGAGGGTCATAAAAAATGGGCTTAAAATGGCAAACTGCACACTGCAAAATCTACTGGTGGCCCTTTTGCGGAAAAATAAGGCCGCGCAGGGTAATACCCATAGTCACTAGGTAGAGGACACCTTAACTCACAAGTCAGTATCATGGTCGTATACCAGGAACCCAGGTGAGATGAGGTATCATCTACCTCCTATCCTGTGTTACCTCTCATGTATTTCCTTTTCTATTCTGAGAGAACTAGGCCTATGTGGTGTACATCATGTTGAAACATATCTTTTGAAATTGCTATTATTACAGTATTTAAATCAATTACGGTTGGTTTTTATCTGAAAGACTGTTTAAGAGAAACAATCATTAGAGCCAAAAATCCTGTTTTATCCTACATCCTGTTTTAATTGCTCACATGTTCTAAAATTCCCATTTGTCGCATAAATATCCTCCGTATTGAAACACTTATTGTATTAGAACATATACAATCAGGTATAAGAGCTAACAAATACAATACTCGACATAAAGACTCCATAATAACATATAAACATCAAACACAATTTTTTGAAAAGAAACCTTCCTACTTCGGTCAATGATATTTCAATGCAATTCCAAAAGAAATTAAAAAAGAAAGTACAGTAACAAAAATAAATAAAAATAAGATTAAAAGAATATCTGATTAAAATAGCTCTGTATTCTTTTGACGATTTGTTTCACCTATTACAGTCAAACAACTGTGTATTGTCGGGACCACGTAAGTTTGCAGTTGGTGACAGCCAGTCAAAAGACAAGGCTAGTGCGACGTTGCCACATCGCCTGTTGACAACACAAATTAAATAAATAAATAAATAAATAAGGTCTTTATTCATGAGCGAATTTCAGTTACAAAACTGTTTTACAAATTGACTCAAGTCAGGACTTAAACTAAATAAAACCTCTTATAACTACGAAACAAAATAAAATTAGTTACAAACTCTTTAGGCGATTCTTAAAACTGTTGTAAGACAGTGCTTTTAGCTTGCAAGGAAGTGCATTGTACTGAGCCGGCCCGAAGTAAGAAAACCCCCTTCTCCCAGCATCAAGAACAACCCTTGGTATGTCAAGCAACAAGTCCTGTCTAGTTCTGCGCTCTCTCACGGCTGACCTCGCTTTCAGTTTTTCCTTCAAGTACTGTGGTGCCTGAGTGACCAGTGTTTTGTGGACGATACATGCAACCTGCTTATCACAGCTCTCTCGGATGGACATTGTATTTGAGATCCTACGGTGACTTGTTATATGATCATATTTTTTAAGTTTGTATACGAACCTTAGGGAGCAATTCTGTAGCCTGTGAAGTATTGTGATCTGTTCCTGTGTTAAGCTGTATCCAAAAACAGGTAGGCAGTAATTTAAAGTAGGGAAAATCAGGGATTTGACCAACCTCAACTTGATGTTTGCTGGGAGCAATGTTCTAAACCTATTAAGCACTTTTAATTTTCCAACAACGCGTTTGCTTATCTGTTTTACATGGCTAGAGAAAGTCAGCTGTGAGTCAATTGTCACACCAAGAATCTTAATGCTTTTGGAAGTTGAAAGCTCTGAGTTATTAACTGTAACTTTGATGCTATTTTTTTCCAGCTGCTCATAGATTGCTGTATTGGCAAAGTGTATAGCGGAACATTTTTCAGGGTTTAGCTTTAATCCATGATCCTTAGACCATTCACAAACCTTTGAAAGGTCACTACTCATATGCTGTAATGCCTCCCCAACCAAAGTAGGCTGGTATGATAAGAAGATTTGACAGTCATCAGCATAAGAATACATAATCCCGAAATCCAACACTGATTCAATACCTACTATATACAGATTGAACAAGATAGGACCAAGACAACTTCCCTGGGGAACACCGACTGTCTTTGCCACTGACGATGAGAGCTGATTGCCCACCTTTGTAATCTGTGATCTCCCGCTCAAATATGTGGTCATCCACTCTAGAGCCTTACAATCAAATCTAAAATATTTTAACTTTGAAATCAACAAGCTATGGTTTACAGAATCAAACGCCTGTGTATAATCTAACGACGACAATACGCTGCATAGCTTATTATTTTTGGCTTTGTAAATTTCATCAATCATGTTAAGCAAAGCTGTGCATGTACTGTGTCCCCTTCTAAAACCAGATTGGTTAACATCTAAAATTTGCTCTGCATCAATGAAATGCGTTATCTGGTCTACAACAACCTTCTCTAGGAGTTTTGACAACGAAGGCAACAATGATACTGGTCTAAAGTGTGAAACCATGGATGCATTGTTCGTCTTAGGAAGGGGGATTACCAGGCTATGTTTCCAACATTCTGGGAAACTACCCGTTCTTAATGACGTGTTTATTAGGCGTGTTATTACAGGGAGGCAGTAAGGGCTTAGTGACTTAATCATATGAATGTTGATTCCGTCTATTCCAGCAGATGCTGAAGTTATGCTATTCATGGCCATTTTTACTTGGCCTTCACTTACTTCAGAGAAACTAAAAGTCCCAGAAACGTGTTTAGCAATGTTAGATTTGTAATAGTTTAGAACATCAGGGTTAATATTATTAGCCTACCAGTTCCCATGGTGGCAAAAAAACTATTCATATCATCTGGAGCTAGTTTACAAGAATTAAGCAGTTTAAAATATACTTAGTAGTTTAAAATATACTAAGCATTTTCAAATCAGCTGGTATTATTAGATTTGGCAACACCGCACGGTTCTTATTGGTCCATTCAAAACCATATGGTAAATAGGCTCCTCCCTCAACTGCAAACTTACGTGGTCTCGACAATAACTTTACAGTCTCCTGCATAGAGTGGATGAGATTGTCACTTGGGCTAGTTTGAGTTGTACAACCTGACACTATTCAATGTATTTATATATGTACAAAATAATGAATAAATAAGTTTGAATTGAATTGAATGGGCATTTATATGTGTATGTTTTTGGTAGGCATATGGTAGGACTATTAATATTATAGGCCTACATTTGACTAGTTCAGCTATAGGTCGACCCCTTAGAAAAGAACCTGCATGCCAATGCTAATGGCATTAGCGCGCAGGTTCTTTTCTAAGTGGTTGACCTATAGTATAAGAATATTTTATGATTTTTTTCTTTCATTTCGATTGTTTTTGTGTTGGCTCTCTGGTTGTGGTCTGCTGGTCAGTACCACATCTTAAAAGTATTTACTGCTATTGACAATGCGGTAATCTAAGACCTAGATGGTAATGGTCCGTGTACAATAATTAAAAATACTTGTTTCCAGTTTCACCCAACCAAAACAATAAATAAATCTTTTACAGTGTTAAAAGAAAACATTTGCTAAAAAAAACTCTCACAAGTTGAACACTAATTTAGTTGTGTAACTTTTCCAGGGAGGAAAATCAACATGGAATGTCTTCTCAAGTAGCTTTACACAACGGAAACTCAGCATTGCAAAGTAGACAAGTTACAACCCGGGCCACGAACCAAACTTCTCAAAGAACCAATTCAAGACAAACTGCGCCAGCAAAGTTATCAAATGTGGCCAAGTCAACTGGAACATCTGGGCAGTCCCAGTCAAGACTAAGAACAGCAGAGGCAGGAACCTCGAGACCAATACTGAAGCAGCAAGGACCGAGCAGAAGTCAAAATATACTCAGTCAAAGGGGGCAACATTCAACTGCCAAACATGTGCCTCAGAGTTCTCAGCTTACAGTACAAAATTTGGCAGCTCACAATGCCAAATATTCATCAAAACATTCAAATGACAATAAAAGCAGAAACTCACCGCAGTTCACCTCACTGCATCAGGGAAGTCGTACTACTACTAATGCCAGAGAAACTTCCAAAATATCATCCTTCATGGGCGGGATCCACAGACTACCGGAGAAAGGTGTCAAACGCGAGCATGAGCAAGACGATCAGTGCAAGGTAAGACATTTATTTAAAATCTATTTTGCCATGACATGTATGGTGTTGATTTGAACTATTCGAGACAGTTTTACGAGTATAGCGAGTAACAGTATTCCACGGCAAGTCGAACTGCTAACCCACTGGTGCTTATATAGTTAGTCTAATCTCACCTGCGAGCACAAGTGTGGTGCTTTAGTACAGCACTCGTCTGTTCGGCCGACACTGACAAATGTGGCTGGGTTGTCAACTGACAAGAGATAAGTGCTGACGTCTTTCCACATGTACTGCAGATTCCCGTACCGGTATAATCCAAATTAAGCTTTCTTAATATGTTGCTGGTGGGAGGGCCCACCTTTACCCTTAAACAAGCGATGTCCGTCTTTGTAATTTTAAGGTCTACTGTAGTATTTTTTACAAAAAAAAACCTAGCCTTTTTTTTTCTTTTGTTGACCAGTACGTCTCTTGTTGGAATTTGCTTTGAAAGGATTATTTACCACAATTGCCGTTATTTTGGTAGCAGTGGCGTCCAGGATATGATCTAAGATGGGTTGATTTAGACGTTAGTCTTAGGTGTTCAAGTTACAAAGTCTGCAAGCTCGACAAAATCAGTAATTGAACACTGATGGCTGGTTAAATACAGTTACGTTAATTTTTATTCGAAAACTGGCTACATCTTTATTATGGGAATTTAATAGGTACTTAGTTCTACTGTATTCATAGTTCAAGATATAGGCCTAGCGCAATTTGTGGGCCAACTAAAGAACTTTTTAAATGAACAAACTAAATCGCCGGACCTTATTTCCTTAACGGCAAACACTGTTACCGGTTTCTCACGAGACGTTTATAATTTCACCGTGATCGTGGGAGATGAGATGATATCCCCACAAAGATGTTCCCCACGATTGCTCCGCAATCATGTAAGATGTCTAACGTTTTTGTCGTGATAATTCAACAATTTGCATTCTCTTAAATCAATAGGCTACCTACCAAAGCCCAGATAGATTCTTCCCCAACCTGATTTCATCATGAGACCCGAATGTCAACATTTTAGCAAATTTCCCATGTAGGGAATAAGCTATTAATTTACTGTTTTAAGGTTAAGTGGGGTAAGTGTATGCCCTAAATCACATAGTACAACCATAGTCAAAGGACAACTTTGACCACATATCTAGGTACTTATTAATACGCAAGCAGGTTTTTTGTGACAATTACTCCTCCGAAACTCAAACCGATAAAACTCGAACCGATTAACATGTTTTTGGTGTCATTGGAAAGAGCAAGAGCGTAACGTGAAGTTGTGCAAGAAACTTTCTTTTTAAGGAAATAATTAGAGATTGAGGCCCTGGGTCCCTTTAAAGTTTCACATTTCTCCATAAGATTAACATTGTTATGAAACTCCAGCTGTTGTCAGAATTATATACAATACAATTATATACAATTAATCTTATCTTATCTTATCTTATCTTGTATTAATTAAGAAATTATATAAAATTACAATATTAAAGAGGTTGCACTAAAAGGAATACAAAATATAACATCAGAGAAGGAGTTTGAGTGCTGTTTGGTTGAAGTAATAGTTGAAAGCATGTCTTTTGTACTGATGGTGTATATAGGACTCCAGAATATAAATACAATGATCCTTTTTTATCCAAACTAGAAACTACACTAGATATATTGACTAAGAAATATGAAAACATCATTATAGCTGGAGATGTAAACATAGATATTTTAAATCATAACTCATTGTATTATAGATTTTTGAGCATTTTGAGATGTATAATATGTCATATAAAGTAAATTTTCCTACTAGGGTTACACTGAAAACTAGATCAGCAATAGACAATATTATCACTAATATAGATCATGTGCAATTAATTGTAACCGGAATCATTACTCATGTGTCTGATCACGATGCACAACTTCTTGAAATTGTGGATTTAAAAGTAAGATAAAAAGAAAACAAAGAAAAGGCACAGAAATTTACAGAGAATAACTTAAAAACCTTTCTCAGTGATTTAGGCAATGAGACTTGGTATGATGTTTACCAGTCATCTGTAGATAAAAAGTATGATGCATTTTTTTCTATTTTTAGTTACATTTTTGATGTTAATTTTCCCAAAGTTTTAAGTGCAGATAGTGGATATAGTAAATGTAAATGGAATCAAAGGAGTTATTTAAAAAAAAGAGTGAGATAAATGAACTGGAAAAGCTAGGTAGGATAAGACAAAATTTTGACACATATCAAAAGATTAAGGTTAAGAAAAAGGAACCTAAAAGAATCAATACACCAAGCCAAACAAACATTTTATAATGAGAAAATAAAACACTCTTCTAATAAAACTAAGGCAACGTGAACATAATTAAAAGTGGAAATAAAGCTTAACTCAAAAAGTGATTTTACCAGCAACATAC